GATAACAATCAGAACTAAGGCCGAGACGAAATGCCAGTGAGGGTCGATTCACTGAATTCGTATATCTATGAAGTTGATTTAAGACGACTCACAACCTTATAAGAGCTTGATGATACAAAGAGCAGTTTAAACGAAGATGAGTTGAGAGTAAGTAAAGGACTTAGGCACGCTGGTGAGTGATATATGTTATATGAGAGAATCTCACAAGAATGTTCTGTGAACAAGATTTTATCATTAGCAGTATATTGATTACTCCATTTACTCTCACTATGCCTCAGCTGCCGACATGCTAATACAACCACTTACAGCGTAGACGTCCCACAGGTTATGACCTGGATTGCTTGTTTTTTTATTAAACCTTCCACTGCCCATCTAACATCTCATGAACTGCTACACTGATCAGCAGAAGGGATCCTGACGAAGACTAGAAGAGCTTTGATCACAGGAAAAGATTAAAAATTGATTGATATAGAGGGGAGAATGCCTCCTAAAACTCGAGCTACCATGGGGATGGATACCCCAGCTAGCAATGATGATATCAAATACAAATCTATCACTACCCCTGGGCCACCGGTCCCAACAACAACCGATACCTTGATACAGATGATGATGGAATATATGAGAATGCAGGATGAGTAGATGAAGATGTGTGTGGAGAAGCTATCTCTATCACCTGCTACTGAGGACTCTATCAAGAATGAGATTGATGAATTCGCGAGGATGTCAAAGCCAAGTTGGAGGGGAGGCATGCAGTTGTTCTCACTGAATCTAACAACTATCTGGAATGGAAGAGCTCTATTCTAGCAGATGCTCATCATATTCAGACAAAAGATGTTCTCATCAAGGAAGAAACAGTGCCTCCTACCACAGTGTCTCTGAATATGAAGCTTTGGAACAAGAAAAATGAGCTTCTTTACATCTGAATCTTTCAATCTTTGAATGTCACTGTACACGATTCCCCAGGACCTCTAAATGACACCTATCTTGCCACCATTCTACGGGAGAACCTTGCCCAATGATATGCAATATCCCATGCAGAGGAACACCTCTTTACCACCAAGAAGATCAGGAATCTACACCTGTGAAATGATGATTTCCACACCTATCTTGCAACCTTCCAGAAATTGAAGACAAAACTTGTATCTTTAGATGAAATCTGGGCTGAGAGTACCTACCATGACCTCTTTATACTGAGATTGGGGGATTGACAACAGGAATTTATTAGGATGAAGTCTATGCTACTAGGCAAGGCCCTATCAAGAACCTGAAACTAGATGATTTGATGAACCAGCTTGCTGCCCATGCCATCACCACCATCACCACCGCTGCCGCTATCACCGCTGGTGGTCATACCAATCAATGGGATAGCCACCAGTGCTACTACTGTGAATGAACTGGTCACATTGCTGATGTCTGCTGGCTCAAGAACCCTCACCTAGCAGATGCTGAATGAAGAGAAAATAATAAGAAGAAGATGAAGATGATGAAGGAATCAAAGAACAAAAACAAAGAGAGAGATAAAGAACAAGATAAAGAGAAGAATCTTATGATCAGCCAATCTAGTCAAGGATTATACACTGCAATTTCTCTGAATATGAATGAACTCTTGAAAAATCAGCCAGGTTATATGAAAGAGGAAGAGAATTACAATCAGTTGAAGAAGTGGAAACAACAACCTGATTGATAGATTGCTTTATTTGTCTGATTTACTTGATTTGATTGTTTGATTTGATTTTGCAATTTCATGTATAATAGAATTTCTAGATAGATATCTGTACGGCTGCTAGTCCGAGGGGAGGTGTTGGCCCTAGGCTGCCTATCACGGACTAGCGCACCGCACATATATGCCTCAGCTGCCGACATGCTAATACAACCACTTAGACGTCCCACAGTTATGAGCCTCGAATGCAACCACTGCGAAGAAGACCACCATGAATGGCCATACGTCGGGCCAGAAGTGTGATTGATCTCAGAAAAATCCTTTGCA